ATTGACTATGATATATAATATTATTTGATATCCCTTGTAGTACGTGGTTATTTTGCATTGCTTTTGATGCAATATCCTGCTATTGATCTTTAATGCAAGGTTATTTTATAAAGTGTTTCTGTAGGGACCTAAGCCTGTTCGTTCCTTCGAAAGCCCTATATCCTTCTCACATCATTTTTAAACAGTATACTACAGAATATTACAATTTACAGTACAATACTGGCCCAAAAATGAGCTGTTGGGTCACTAAAATCATAGGTCTGGTACTGGGCACAAATCAGGGATGTAAACATCACAACTGACCCGCAGCCAGGGTCCCTGAGAAAACTGCAAAAAGAGTAACTGCTATCACCATCTGACCTATTTTACACACAAAATTAAGGGGGACTGAAAACTGGCTGTCTTACCTCCACAAAAAATGGAAGGGAACAGCATCCTGGTGAAAGACGTACATGTAGAGGCTTGTGTGGTGCTTAAGCACTTTCCGTGCCCCCCCCCCCCCCCCCCCCCAGCCAGTGTGACGGTGCTTCCTGTGCCGGCCTGCTGCCAGGATCCGACCTTTATTCCACTTTTTCCCGCAACATGAAAGGCCCGATAACAATGTATATAGGCCTATTCAGAAATGTGTGCTGCTTGGGCTGAGGGGTGGTGGTGCTGGGAGAGGCCTTTGTGTACTTCTCTGGGGAGGGGGGGGGGGGGGGGGGGGGGGGGGGGTTGGTGGTTGGGTGGGGGGGGGGGGGGGGGGGGGGGGGGGGGGGGGTGTTTAAGCATGCCTGCAATTGGGCCAGTATCACTGTAATGTGGGCCCCCACCCAGCCTCAGCACTGGGGAGCGCGGAACAACGAGGCGTACAAATGCCGGGCTGTCGCCGAACGGCATGGAGAGGGGGTAGTGGGCGGGGGGCGGGGGGCATTCAGACCCACTGAAAAGAAGCGTTTGTCTCACGGTATCAATGAGGCGAACAGAGTGACAGCGGTGAGCGAGAATGACACAGTCCATTTCCTCTTCAGTCTGAAGCTAAAACCTCAGACCGGGGCTGCGAGGGAAGTGGAAAAGCTGCAGGACATGCGAGTCTCGCTCCGGGCCAGGGACATGCACCGACACCTGCGGGAACGCATGCTCCCCTGGTCGCATCTGACAGGTAAGGACTATACCTGCAGCAGAATGGCTGGTGTCTGATGTCAGGCAGGTGAGCTTCTTCAGCTCTTCAGTCTCTCACGGTGAAACTCATTTTGAGGTGAACTTAATCAAATGATTGATCATTTTATTGACTGGGTGCAGGAAATTGCTTTTTTTTTTTTTTTTTTTTAATACACTGCAACATCCCAAATAAATGGCAGCTTGATATGAAATGCAGCCTGGGAAGGATGGCTATGGCACAGAGGAAAGCCCTGCTTCTTCATTGACATTCCTCACGTAGGCAGTGATGGACAACCTGTAGGCGCTGCTCTACAGAACAGCGTCAGAAAGTCCAACAGACCCCTTCACTGGTCCAGCTAACCGACGTCAGGAATCACTAATCTGATGATGTTAATGGTCTCCGTTGCAACTACAGACCCTTTGTTTCGACTTTCCAACTCATTCACATCGAGTCAGTTATTTACATCTCATTTCATCTCATCAGTGTGATAGACAACACATAGTTTAATGGAAATTTTCATCCATTTTGTTATAGAGCTCATTTACATTCATTTTATACACATACACACACACACAGACACACACACACAGACACACACACAGACACACACACACACACAGACACACACACACACAAACACACAAAGACTGTTACCAAAAAATGCCATATTACTGTAGTTCATGCTTAGTTCTTACATTCATTTGCATCAGCGATAAATTAACTCAACACAGACACACATTTAAATCAACTCAGGTACAATATGAACTCAACAGCCTCTGCTAATTTGAATACTTATGCCCTTATGCCTATAGTAAATATTTAATTACTTAAGCATTGGAAACAGTAACGAACACATCTAGTGTAAAATTTGCCTTCACCGAAACCACCGTAACACTGGATTTCTCTTGTATAAAACCTGTATGATCCAAACTTCATTGTACCAGATGAACCTCCAAACTGCTTGCTGGATCTACATAAGATGCGGTGATGACTGTATCAGAGCCCCGCTCTTCCCAAGGGCTGCTCTCTGATCTCCATTTGACTATCATGACTGATTATGTCTAGCGATTTATCATCTGAAAACAGTCCTTATGGATTTAGATGATGTTAGATCTTAGAGCTAATCCCGTTTCAATCAGATGACCACGCAGAGCCAAGTCAGTCACTAGCACCTAAGGCAAGACAATAATTTGAACGCCTACTGTTTAGACTCACCAAGTGACCGCAAAGTCAACTTTCAGGAATGACAACAACAAAAACATTTCATAAGTTCACTCCTTAACAGGAGACAGTATTAAAATAGATCATGCAATGACATCACCATCAGCTTGGTTCTTGGGAACTGTGGCAGGCTGCACAAGTAGAGACAAGAATTCCATCTCGCTCACTGGCTTTTACCCTCCACTGTCTGCCTCTGTACTTACGCTCTACTTCAGCCTACACTGCCAGTGAATCAGACTGAAAGAAGTGCTTAACAACCAAAACTGGCAAGTGAATCCAAAACATGTACACAGGCACGCCCTTATACTCGTGAGCGCAAAAAAACACGAGGCATATACACTATATGTACACAAAGACAGTATACTGGGTGATTATGTATAGCAACAAATGGCTATTCACCACTTAAGTAACTTGTTCAACAATTGTAGGTTAAAGGTTAACATGCCAAGAGGTTTTCTGTAAGAAAACTTACTTGTTTCGCCTGGACAAAAGCTGCAGATGCACTAAAGGAGGATTAATTGACCAAATTCTATTTGAAGGCACTATACCAGAATATACGAGGATCTGATCTCAATGAAAGTCAACTAATATTTTCAATAAAGTTATTTGATCACCCGTGTCTTTCACAGAACATGCTTATTTTGACAGAAGGCCAAACATATACACAAGCGCCAACGGATTCCCCCTCCTTACGAAAATCCCACCTAGTCGCTGCTCCGCCCCTGCAAAGCTGGTCCTTCATGCAGAATTAAAGCGAAAATCCTCTGTAAGCTTAAACAAGCTAATCATGTTAGGTGGTGCAAAACTCAAAGGTATATCAATTCACCATTGATATAGGAGTCAATAATTGCCAGGACAACCTCGACTCTCTGGGCTGGACGTCGCTTCCAGCTTTCACAAGCAAATAACCTGACCCGCTTTTTAAAATCAGAAGTCTTCATCTACAAAGACACTGGACAACTGGATTCCAGTGTTTTCAGCCCCCCAAAGACCTTTGTAAACTCCATTTTAGAGTCACAGTGAGGATAAGTTAAAACAGAGACTTTTGAAAACGCAGACTCTAAAAGTGTTTTGATTGATCCCACCATTTACTCCTTCTCATTGGTCACCCTACATGAAAGTGAACAGTATTCCAATATGGCGGAGGTGCTGTCAGTGGTGCTTTCCCTGTTACGGACCTGTATGCAGCTGAATAGCGTGTGACACCGTGTGATTGAAACTAATTTACCAGTCCCAGGCACGCACAGTGTAGGCTAATACTCACATCCTATGTGTTCTTGCTTGTTTCAGTATGTATGGATATAGTTTCATAAATGATGTGAAAACACCTGTGTGGAAGGGGATCATTTTTGTCTGAAAACAGCGGTGTGCACGTAGCCGTAGTTGATTAAACTCCGCAGTGCAGGTGAACACGCTATAGGAAAGTTTCCCCCCCCCCCCCCACATTTGTTTACATGTACGTTTGTCACCACTGCTTAGCGTTAATTGGTTTTAATGTTATTCAGTGGGAAGGTTATGAGGTTGTGCAAGGAAAGGGCTGTTCAATTTCTATCGTCATAACAGACAACAGCGCTATAGTGGAGAACAGAAAGAAAGACAAAAGACCTACACGAGAAAGGTGCTAAAAAAAATTCATAGGATGTTTTTAAACCAGTCAACCATAATCCAGTAGCAAGACCATCGTCTTTCTCATCCTTACAAACTGTTATTACAATCAAGACAAATTCAAAACTTCACAACAATAATACAGGAAACTCAGACATGTTTAACGCTAAAGTATAGTGCACAGGTTTGACTTAATTTGATTTCATTTTAGTGATTTGATCAAGGACTTTGCTGCAAAGACAATCAGAAAAGTAACAGTTCGAAAAGCAAGCGTCTGTCTGTGTTAGTATAGTGTGGCCTATGCGGTATTTCAAGGTCCTGCTTTTGTAGGCTATTACAATAGGGCCCTAGAGCTGACTGTTCTCAGCCCGCTGTTAGTGATAGTACTTTGTCCTTCTTTAAGCCACACAGCACTGACACTGTGAGATGGATGGAATCATTCATACTCCTTTTAAAAAAAATGTTGCTGCTCATACAGAAAATTTTACGGCAAATCTAGATTTTTCCATTATAAACCTAAAATTAGCTACATCATTATTAATATTTACAAGGTAATAAAACTGCTACATACACGTAAATGCGAAGTGAAAATCTCACGCCAGCCAGCTGACCAAAGTAGGTAACTCTGACTTTCCTCTGGTTCACTGTGAAACGTTTAATGTAGATATGTATAACTCTATTTTGTGTACTCCAAAGTAATGCCCAACAGACACCGAAACAGTTAAAATGGGCAGCTCACAAAAACAGGATTAAGTTAGATTACGGCGTGACAAACCTAACATGACTGTTACCCAATCCACTGAGTATTTTGCAGTACCAGTTTTACAAAGGAGTATGATCACCTAAATTTTTCTTTGCTAAAATGATTCATAACAATTGTATTAATACATATTGCTGTGTGAAAAGATATCGCATTAATAGCAAAAAAAAGCACCCTGATTCCAATATAAAACAAACTATAACGTATACGACATATAAAGGCCGACGCAGTGCCGGTCCTAACCGATGTGGCGCCCTAGCCGAGCATCACCGCGGCGCCCCCACTCGAAGCAAAGTGAAATTGGCTGGCAAGCCGGCGCCCCCATCAGGAAGAGGCGCTCTAGGCGGCCGCCTTTGTCGCCTATATGATTGACCGGCCCTAGGTCAGAGAAGTTAACGGGAAAATTCAGCCAGATGGCTGGAGGCGCCTCCCAGAGCCGCGTGGGGGGTGGTGGTAGGCGGAGCGCTTATGTATGCCGGTGTAGAGAGTCTGGGGCGTGACTCGCACACGCCCCCAGCGCCGGCGACAAAAGGCGAGCCTGCGCGGGCCGCCGCTCACACGAGGCGCGCAGGTGGGCAGCCGGCAGGTAAGCGGCCGCTCCGGACTCCCGGCTCCGAACCCCTCCACGCTCCCGCGCTGGGGACGGCGGTTCCTTTGCTGCATTCAGCTGCACCCTGCGCTCCAAGACGTTTAACTTCGCTTTCGAGGAATTTTATCTTTTGCGATCAACAAGTGTGATTCTGCCGCTTACGATGCCGGAGGCCGCTGGTTTCCTGGTAGGAGTCATGGGGGGGGGGCTTTTTCTGCTATGACGACCGTGAAAATCAATCTAGTGCATCTGGCAAATAAATAATTCAAGCGGTAATAAATGCATAGACGTTTCGGGAAATCAGTTACTACGAAAAGTAAAGTGGCCGCACTGAGCCGGTTATTATGGGCTACAGGTGCGCCGTCAGTCACGACATAATTCGCAACGGTACTTTTTCTGTGTGTCTCAAGACAGCATATTAAATTTTAATACCGGCTAAGTCAGGCAGTGGGTGTGTGAACTGCATTCGTCTTCTGTAAGTTAGCTTAAGCTTAAGTTACGCAAATAAGACAAATACAGTGAGTTTTTTTTTTTACACAAGTAAAACAAATAACACTGTACGTCGTTAATAAGTTAAACTGGCGGGGAAACGCTGGAGGTCCTTCCGCATTGCGTGTGCGCCGCTTGATGAAAGGCTCTGAATCAAATTTCAAACAAGCCATGTTGCCATCTCACGCTAACCAGCGCATAATTATTAGGTCTAATAAAAATAATAATAAAAGATATTCCAAGGAGTCCATTGAACTTCGCTTTTCATATAAAGCTTGTAGCAGGGATGTATCTTTACTGTAACTGGCTTTCTGTACAGGTGGACACCGAAGGTGGTGATGTTGATGGGATGATCAGTACCTAAGACGACCACCGCACGGCTGATGGTAACCAGTAAAGGCTGCAGGTAACAGGATGATGGCGATAATGGTCACGTGGTTTGAGGATGCCAGCTGTGCCCAGGACAACACCCTGCACTACCTGTTCCTCCTGCTGTTTAAGGTGGGCCTCAATGTCCTCATCCTGGCCTCCTGCTTTCGGAGCCTGAGGGGCTCCTTCATGGGGATCAGCGGCGCCTCCTTGTGTCTGGCAGACACACTGCTGCTGTGCTGCATTGCCTACGTGTGGCTCTGTGGCCGCGACGCCGAGAGCGTCGGGTCTGTGTCCATGTGCTTCGTGCTGGCGCATGCCTCCGCCATCTACTCCTCTTTGCCGCTCCCCATCTTGCTGCTGGGGCTCCTGGACCACGCGCTCCATCTGCGGCTGGGCTCCCAGCGCACACAGACCATCAGGCTGCCCACCTGCTCTGTGCTGGTGCTGCTGGTTTGGCTGCTGGCCGCTCTCCACTCCTACTGGCACACGGAGACGGCGGTGGAGGAGGTGACGGACGAGGGCCGACGCGTGGCTCTGCTCTGCGCCGTGCGCGGCTCCTCTGTGGTGCTCGCCTTCTGCATGGTGCTCTCCGTGGCTGTCGTCTGCGTCCTGCTGCTGTCCTGCCACAGGGCATCGCTGTGGACTGGCCACTTGGCTGCCAGCCAGCCGGAAGATGGGAAGCAGCCAATCGATGACGAGGGTGAGGTGTCGGTAACGCCTGGGCCGGCAGTGAAGCCGGTCCGCCCCCTCTTCCTCAACCTCGCACTGGCCTTCACCCTGAACTGGACCCCCTTCCTGATCATCAATATCGCCTGTGTGCTGCTTGGCTTTGCCACACCTTCTTACATAATGGTCAACTTGCTCTGGCTCCTCTGTGCCAACAGCGCCATGGTGGCGATCGTCTTCTGGTACAAAGGCGGCCAGCTGGATTACGGCGCCGAGCTCCCGGACGACACGTGCATGTGGACGCTGAACTGGCACACACAGCCGGGATTACACTGGCAAGGCGCAGTGCCCGAGCACATCTACACTGTGTCTGGCAAAGAGATGACAGACCCACTGCTGGTATGACTCAAACACTGCGCCCCTCAGGAATGTCCTTGGTGCCTAAGGGAATCTGCCAATTCTCACGGAGCTAAAAATGGCAGCAGAATAAAGGCATATATGCAAATATCCAATCAAACATACTTGATTTTTTTTGGCATTTTAGAATAAAATGTACACTAAGTTTTAGTGAATGTGATCAGCAAGTTCCCAGCCAGGAACTAGAAATGACTGGCCATTATAAAATGCTGAAGTAGCACTACTGAAGGTAATAAGGATGTAGGTAAGAACTTATCATGTAAATATTGCTTTACAAAGATTAATTTTTGCAAAAATGAACTGGAAAATGATTTAATATTTAAAGCTGCGTTTTTTTTTTTTTACAAGAAAATATATGTATAAATAACACAAATAGAAGGAAGTTGACATTGCAGCTAAACAGGGACAGTGCTAACTGAATATGGAAAAGACATTACATTGTAAAGTTTTGTTCCGGACAATTTCCATTGCTTGTTTTAAAATGTACAGGTGTCTGTTGAGATGTTATAGAAACACAACTCTTGTTTCCCCCTTTAAAATCAACTTAAAGCTCATGAATCTGGGAGCTATACCTTTCCTTGCTGTTTTGTGTGAATTTCTGCAAAAAAAAAACATTAACATCCTTTGTTTGCAATTGAGCTACCAAATGCATAAAAATTGTAACTTGAGTGTTAACGTGATTGAGAGGTGGGATCCTTTTCTGAGGAGTGTGACAGGATCGGCCACAAGGCACATAAGCATACAGCCGGCATTTCCCCATTTTTGCCAGGACGCAGGACCACATGGTTAAATCTTTCTGCATGGCTGTTCGCAAAACACAGTACAAGGAGGAGCCCCTTTCCATGCAACTCGCGGGCATTCCTAACTGCCCAACAAAAAACATTCTTTCCTGTGGATAATAAGTTCTCAATCTGTAAGCTAAAACACCAGATAAGTGAGAAAAGCAGATGGTACAAGGACAATAATTCCATATACAAGCATAATAATACTGCCCGATAGCAGGTGTAGCTTAACCATCAGGGGATTCCCAGAACCCTGTTCCTGCCTTGAATTTCAACTTTCAACACACTTTCAAATACCATTTAACACTCACTGTATTATTTGTTTTACATTTAACAACAGTGAGCGGCTTACATGTTCCTGTCACAAATGTATGCTTTCCACATGAATGTGGACCTAAGCATGGTAGGAACTAGGGCTGTGCTCAAAAAAATCGATACGGCAAAATATCGTGACATGGCAGGCTATCCAATGGTGCAACGACAGGTGTGAAAGTGCAGTGCGCAGTGCAGCCGCAGGGTGCCAGTCAGGAGCGTAGGATTTATATTAACATGGGGGGGGGGGTGGTGTCACGTCGCCTTACAAGCCAATTCAGTGGCCATGCTGTATACTGTTCGTTTTTTCCATAAACTATCGCTATTATATTTACAATATATAAAGTGAAATGTATCTTTCCAGTTTACTGTTATTCATTTTTACTAATACGGTAGTTTATGTGCATCAAGTCCCGCATTATGAACGCTGGATTTGCAGGAATTATTAAATGCCCCTGTCACCTGTCACTCTCCTGCACCCTGTATCTCTCACAAACAAATCCTAACTTTCCAGAAAGAAACAACACATAAAATAGCCACTTGAAGATATCTCCTTTCTGCCAGCACTATTTATGAACTAAATGATTCAGAGTTTCTGGTAACTCAGTAACTGGCGTTATGGCGTTTTTGAAATAAATGCCAGATCGATCTGCCCCGTTTGATGGGCTTCTTACTCTGTCTTATGCCCTAACAGCAAACACAGTGGGATGAGAATCGTGACTCTCATTCAAGGTTACCTTTCTTATAGAGCAGGTCTATACATTGTCCTTTTATTAAACAAACTAAATAACCTTGTTATTCATCTTATTTACACAACAGCTTGTCATTTTTGTCTCTACACGGTCGCGCGTTTACAATTCTCCTCTGCTCTCTGTATCGCGCATAGCGGAGTTCCGCCCCGATGCGCGCACACACAGGTGAGCACACTCCCACCAGCGGACAGAGAGCGCGCGTCGGAAAATATGCCGCGTCAACCACCCGGTCAGCAGTGTAAACTGTAAGAGGGACTTCTCAACCATGAACAGGGTAATAAATACGTTTCACAATGAGATTTTCTGCTTTAAACTATCACTATTTTAAGTTATCAGCTATTACTTTTAAAGCCTAACAGTTAATATATTTGCAGGTCAAGACAAACATCTGCAAAAGGCATGAAATGGGCCAGACATTCTGACTTCCCATATGAAGAGGCTCTAGAAATGTTCTTCCAGAAGCTCAGAAAGATACACAAAAGCTGCACACTTTGTGGATAATTGTCATAAAAAGAAATGTTCTGATGTTTAGTTCAGTTGTTATATTGACTGCTGTTATTAAAAGAAACACATGAACACCATGAATCCTGTCGGTGTCCGTCTGCCCCCCCCCCAAAGCAGTAAGCCTTGGGGAAACACTGGATTTGTATCCCCAGAAAACTGCCACCAAAGGAAATGAGCACATTTCATACACTTTCCCAGTCCCTTCTTAACTGAAAAGAATCCAAAGCGCATTTTAGATACTCCCCATTGATTTCACAGCAGTACAAGCAGGCATTCAGCCCAGTGTTATGGATACATATAATACCCCATTGTGAAAGCTACTCCACATCCTTTACAAAGCCACAATGTCATTTTTGAGAAAGCTTTATGTTTTCTAGAGCCCTGTGCTATTGAAGGTGCCACTGACCGCTCTCCTTACAGATAGAGTTCTTACACAAACAAGGCATGCAGCAAGTTTACCCAAGCCGGTGTTACCATGACCTCAGCCGATAAAAGACTCTGTGTCACGCCTTGCGCAGAATGGTTTGTGCATGGAAACACGAGGGAAGTACACAGTGCAGGTGCGCCAGCACATGCCAGTCATTTACAGCTCATTAGAACTATCAGATCAAAGAAAATATGAAATTATACTAGAAATTATTAATCACCCACATGCATGAAAACAAAAGTTTGATAAGAAATTTCACACAAGCAGGTTAATTTTTTGCAAAACAAGCTACATTATATGATATATCATGCTAGCCACTTAAGTTTATAGCACCACAGCTGTCACGCATCTCCATCTCTTGGGGAGAACATTTTAAAACAAATTTGAGGAAGCACTTCTTTACACAGCGTGTAGTTAGAGTATGGAATAGTCTCCCTGCTAGTGTAGTGGAAGTTAAAACCTTGGGTTCCTTTAAATCAGAGCTAGATAAGATTTTAACAACTCTGAGCTATTAGTTAAGTTCTCCCCAAACGAGCTTGATGGGTCGAATGGCCTCCTCTCGTTTGTAAATTTCTTATGTTCTTGCAGTGTTAGAAAAAAAGGGTACCAGTACCTTTGCTGATCACTGGGGCTGTACCCTCAAGGGTCTGCCAACTGTAACCTTAGCTGTAGGTAACTGTACCTTTTAAGGTAGAGAAATGGACTCTGAGGAACATCCCCAAGGTACAAACAACATTAATGTACCCCCAATGGTACAAAAATATCTCACTGCTTCAGTGACAAGCAAAGGTACAAATTGGTACTCTTTATTTCTGACAGTGTGGCGCTATAAATGTAACGTTTCATCGTCTTCTAACGTAGCGGGCCACTTGAAACTTGCCAGCACCCTCTGCTGGTCATTCCCTGAAATAACAACGGGGGTGTTTCTCTGGCTCCCTCATGCGTTCATTTCAGGATGGTACAACAAAGTACCGTTTCTCTTACGGTACAGACCATGGTTGTTACCCAAGGCTGTTCTTAATGCTTAACCATCGTAGGAATGACCCCCAATCAGGGTGAAGCAGCATACAGGGAGGAAGTCCAGAACTTCACAGGGCGATGTAGAGAAAACAGCCTCATCATTAACATAAAAAATCCAGAGAACTGATCCTTCAAGAAGAACAGAGCACAGTGCACTTCATATACACAGAGAGAAGGCAGAAAAAGTGTCGAGTTTCAAGACTATTGGGGTTAAAAGAACCTTACTTGGTCACTGAACACCTTTCAACCTAGTGAAAAAAAGTCTCTCTTTTTTTCTCAGAAGATGAGAAAGTCCAACTACCTCGGAAGTTTCTGGATAATTTTTAATTCTGATTCCGACCCCGCAACTGAACCCTGAAGTGTGTTCATTCTGTCATACATCGTGAATCTTTTTAAGATACTAGAGGTAATACATTATGAGTAATCACAAAACTTCCGAGTTGGAAGAGCATTTTTCAGCAGACTACACTGAAAACGGTATTCTACCCTCAAACGAAAAGATCTCCGTTTCTGGCATTCTATGCCTAACCGGTCTCACGCTTCAAATCCTTTACAATGGGGCCATTTCCCATTCAGTTTTATATCAACAGAAGAAACGCTTTATCGATTTAGTGCGTTTAATGGCAATGTATTGTACTAGCGCCAATAAATGTTTTCTAATGCAGAATTCCTGTCTGGTTTGCATGCTGTTCGCATTAAAGCCACACATACACCAATAGATGGTTTCCTTTTTATATTATTTTACATTGTTTTTAAATTTAAAATACTATACCAGCCAGTTAGCGAGAATGGCGGCCACCACGACTAATGAATGAACTACACAAACCTCTCATGAAAAAAACATCCACTTATATAAAAAGGAATGAGTATGACCGAAAGAACACATTTAGCAAAGTAAAGCCACCAGGGACATTTAGGATTCTTTGATTCTTGAGACAGGAACATTTTAACTGACAATTTAATGTAACGTGACTACCGTAGTACAGTTTAATTTTATCTTACCTGACCACCAATAGTTATATCAAAAAACACTATGGGGTTGTTCGGGTTCGACGGTTGAATGTTCATTTTTTCTGGCTTTCAAAACTGAAATATATTTAAATGTGATTTAAAAAAAACCTTCCACGTTCAGTTATCGAGTAAACTCTGCGCCGTTCCTAACTAAAGTACGGTGGCCGAAAAAGGACCTCCTACGGTTAGTAACGTAGGACAATTTTAATGGAAATGAGTTTTCTTTACTCATTATTATTATTATTAACATTATCATCATTATTATTATTGTTATTGTTGTAAAAACGTGATAATTCATAGTGTTTTCCTTTGAGCTATAACTTTTTCACTATTACAGCAACATGGCTCGTTGGAAAGTGTTTTTCATGGCACGGTTAAATCAACTCCTGCATAAGTTTCTTTTTTCAAGGTGATCTCGCAAGTTCATCACACAAACGACATTTTTTGCTACTTCTGGTTATAAAAATAGCTAAGGGTTTGGAGTAACATTTTTTTTTCATTTTTATAGTGAAATACATACAGGTATGTATAGGCCTACGTGTATTATTGATATGCAAAGCATTGACTAATTTGTTGGTCCCCTTCACGAGATAAATGTATAAACTAAAAAAAATGCTATTTTGGGAGGAGTAAAAAGATTTAACTTAATTTGGAAGAAAGTAGCTCTTTATCTGCCTTCTGATAAAATGCATTGTCATTCAAGGATGTGTAGGAGTTACAATGTTCTGAACTTAAGATAACAATGTAACTCATTCATGTTAAATCCGTTTATTTCATTAAATATAGGTGAAAGTGTACCTAAGTGTAGCACAGAAAAGGACTATTTTTGAGCTTTCCAATGACATATAGCTGAACTATGTAGCTGTAATACTAACAAATTTACCACAATCTGAATTAGGCTTATCTTTTTCTTTTGCTACCAGCAGTACTGTCTCAACAGGAAATGTTTTTGTAAATAAACAAACAACAAATCATTTTTGAGCTTTGGAAGGCATATGTAATTTCCTTACCAAATTTCATCAGCACCAAAAGTGGAATTTGTTGAGTTAAAATGGCATTACCCTACACTACAAATCTGCCCACTATTTCGTTGTATACAAATGAAGGAGTGTGTAAAAACAACGAAAACTTTGATTCATATGGTTATGAACGGGTTAATCATAAGGTTAATTTTTCAGTTTGAATATCTGTAGGTTTCAATAGGCAAACAGAAATCTATAGATTTATTATAACTATTCAAAAAAGTAACTGGTTTAAGTTTTGAAAATAGGTTTCTTTCACACCCATACTCACTTTTTTTATGGTATGAACATGTCACAAACCAACCAACAACAATGGACAATTATGATTTTATTTATTGTTACAATGATAATTATACATTTTGTAAGAAAATCAAAAATAAATGTATTAGCCACTCGTTTAATATTACAAGCCTACTAAGAGACGATTAATGTAAAATGGAGACGACACACAACTGAAAGCTTTGACCGTGTGTTTAATCCAGGAAATTGTCAAAGAAGATTCATTTGCATTCAGTGTTCAATGTATTTGGAAGTTGAGAGTTATGTCGGTAGAACATATCACTCAATTCCGATAGGGCATCAGTCAGGACATACAGTCAGCCTTGAAAAAAACTATTGGCACAGCCACTCTTCCTTCGCTCCTCATACGCAGAACTGCAGCTCCCCATGCAGCAATCCGCGCTCCACGGCACTTCAAACAGGCCATGACGCGTTTCACTATAAGCAGGCCTAGATCACATTTACAGGCTGGTACGTCACATCGGCGAGTTCTGTCTTTGCAGTTATAGGGTCAGTTACACCGAAAAGGGGGTTGCTTGATGTCTGTTGGAATCGATTAATATGTGAACTATCTATTATTATTATTATTATTATTATTTACAATTTATCAGAATACTTTTTCATTATATTTTCTTAATTAATTAAAGGAGTGTGACAGTCAAAATCCTTTCCAAAATCAGGAGCAAATGCTGTTTTCCTGAGAAGTTTATGCAACCTTAAAACTCAACAGGTAATTTTTGATATCTAACACAACGCGGCCAAGCAACATGAAACAATAGGAAAGGTATGGGGTACAGTGACGATGGCTCTTTTAATCGGTTTAGTGGACACTGGACATGCAGGGAAACACAATGACTGCCTAGTGCCAGTGGGCTAGTAAGTCTCCTGACAGACATGATTTAGAACAGAGCAGAACAGCTTTAAAAGCAGCTTCGGGCGTTGCACGCTTATATTCTCCCAGTTTAACTGAGGTGCATTCATTTTCCTTCGGGAAAACCTGCGGTGATTTATCTGGGAGCTTACGCTTAAGTTACACTTGACTTCAAGGTTCAAGGACTTCGGACTTAAAAATATATATAATCACCTTCCTTTTTTGGCACAAGCTCGCAGGAAATTGTGAGTACATTAACAATTTCAAATACAGCAGTATACAACACAAAAAGACACCTCCCCTTGAGGATGCTGAGGAGTGTTTAACTTGAATCCTATATTTGTTTATCTGTTTTCATTTATCCCCCAGCTGTATATATATATATAAAGTAAAAACAGCCACATATTACAGAACACTGGATACAACACATTCCCTTTCGAAAAATGTGCATTGAGTAATTGTTCTTACCCAGCTTGGGTTTCTACACGTCTGCAATCCAAGATTTGACAGATATGACCCTTGCAGGAATTGAATTGCGTGCTTCTAGAGATTTCCAGGGTACTGACATAATGTGAACAGTACGACAGGATCTGACATGCAGCTACTGCCCACAAGCTAGTGTGACACCAACACCGCTATACGGTAATACAACTACTACATCAGGATTACTACATTGCCGGCTGTCATTTGCAGGAGAGCAAGACAACCTGGGGAATAACCTCTTCAGGAGAAAGAGAGTTTATTAATGTCTTACCCTCACAAAGAAAAAGTCACTATACAAAACTAAAAGCATCTGTCTTTTTATTCTCTTGGAAAAATAATTTCTTAAGTTTCACACCGACAGTACTGTGCCACGGCGTTAACTTTTTTCAGTTTAAACAACAAACACATATAAGCACAATGCGATACTTAGGAAGCATTAACTTAATGACCTTATGGCTGTTTAAATGCTTATTCTTTAAAAACTAAAAACTCCCTCGTTGTTTATGGCGCTGTTCAAAAAAGCCTAGAGTAGCGTGAATCGGATTATTCAGCGGCATCGCACATAGCGATATCCTTCTTAAATTTCCACCGATAAGACAAAATCCAGACAAAACACCCACGTAATATAATCCTTAAAGTTGAGTCAGTTTGTTCCTTCTATCATAATGTCAAATTAAATCTTAATTTCCATATAGACGTCACTAAATGTTCCTGTGCTAAATTTCTGTTTGAACACCACATTTCTGGTGGAGCTTAATAGAAATGTTAGCGTGGAAAGCAAAAATTTTGACCGAACCTCCGAGAACCCACGGACAGTGATATTTAAGGATATAAAATAGCAAATTACATGACTGAGGGAAACTGGAAACCAGAAAAATGCCAGCCTTCACCCTGCTGATCCTCCTATGTTCAGCAGTTCCTTCTGTGGCCACTAGAGGGCGGTTCACCCGGTGACTCCACAAACTGATGGTTTCCCAGTTTATAAACATTACCTTCAAACGTCACATAAGCCGAGATGCCGGTAGGGCATTCGAGCAAGGCTGAGAGTATAAAATGCATAAATGCACACAAAAGCAGAGCAGAGGAAGCACTGAGATTAGAGCACCTTCAACATTCTTCCCGGACCCAACAGGAGTCACTATTCATGTGGCTCAGGAACGTCTTTATCTTAAGAACTACTTTGGGTTATATGAGTTACGGTATCATTGTGCTGCTGTCAAGTGGCATTCAGATTTATCTGTTTCTACATATTACGAATGCTGTGAAAGTTCATGCTGGAAGCCGCTAGCTGGTGAATGTTTGTGTGCTGTCCCGGTTGGTAGATCAGTGATGGACTTTTCACCTGTTAGAGTTACTACTATACATTTTAAACAAGCAGTGGGAAAGTCTGTTTCATCCACGGGTGTAGGGTTGGGGTTAGGGTTGGGTTCATTATGCACGCACACAATGACAATGAGGTTGATCTCTGCTCTACCGCTGCTCTTGATTGCTTTACTGAAGCTATTATTAAGATACGGTCTAAGTCCACCTGGTGCTACATATGTAACTAAGTCATTAACAAACTGGCAACCCTAGAACCTTAACCTTCCATGGAAAAAGGACCCCCACCCTGCTTTAAATAATGACTCCAGGTTACACTGTATCACTAAAACAATTGGGAAATTAATGCTCTTTAAGCATTTACACAGCCAGTAAGTTTCATTTACACATTCAACGCAAAACACGAAAATACTATATTTATGACACGATTACATAAGTGCTTGTAAAACTAAAGGATTTCTAAAGCTTTTCTGACCCTTAGTAGTCAGATGTTGCCAGACCAAAATAAAAACACATGAGTAATTATGATTGCAGGTGAATCTCGCACTGTTAAGGCAGTCTGGGCTGACGGCAAGGTGGGGACATAACTGTGGAGGGAAGGACACCGGCCAGGTCGCTGTCACAATTAGGATTGTCGGAACTTCACAGTGACAATGCGAAAACAATACAGTGCAGATACCACAGAACATACCCACCGAGCAAACATGCAAAGGCAACTCCAATACACATAAAAAAATGCATGGGCCTGTTTTCCAGACAGTGTATCCAGGAGAGGGTTACGGCACTCAAAAAATATTTCAACTTCTTGAACATTGGCTGTTAAAAATCTTTGCCAGCGATGATTACTGAGTGACACACAGGTTCCTTAATGCAGCTGAAATGATGTTTGCTATTGAGGAAAGCACCGACATCAATGTACACAGGAAACTATATCACCTACAAAGAGGAGTGCATATTTTAAAAATTATATGCATTAAATGAACAGGACACACACTCTTTGAAACATAACCTAAAGCAAACCTAAACGTGTTTTATAATTATTTATGATTTTAAAACCAAAATACCTTTTGACTCAAATGAGTTTCATGTTGTGACTTTTATCATTTCTTGTGCTTAGCTGTTGCAGTCGTAACTGAAATACATTATTTTCTCCATTTATAATAAAACGCTGACAAAGTTCTAGCTATTGCGATATTTTAGCAGTATATTACAGTGGTGGTTCTTCTTAATGTTAATATAATGATTTCAGGGATGGACTATCTAGTTCAGAGATTTTAAGCCCGGGGACTGACAGCTCAGATTTTTTAGTCAGGGATGTTGAGTGAATCACATCATGCACATCACAGTAAACCACCAGCATATATTTGTGTACTGCAGCATTTCTGTTTGCCAATAAATTTAAGATATTTATTATTTCTAATTTATTAATGACACTATTTTTCATTTCTTGAAATATCTCTCTTCATAAAAACACCTGTGGTCCTCTGATATTTATCACCCGACTTCGCCTATTTGGACCAGTACTATACGGAGCTAATAAATCTTTAAGATATAATATTCCATCTCGGCTGAAACGGTGTCTTTCGAAAAGAATATCATCTGGCAACAATAAAGGATCTTGCCGATCGCACAGAACCCTCTCTATATGAAATTCTCTTCTTATTATTTGCGCACCGATATCAATTGGTTGCTCATTCATGAATGGCGAGGCCATGACTTTATCACCACTGCAGGTATTTATCAACCATGCGACTTAATGTACGCAGTGTGCGCAGTGTACGCAGTGCATGGATTTCACAATGTGATTCATTCAGTTAACAGATAGTAAGCATACTTAATAAAAGGCTCCGTGAACAACGGCATACAAAGTGTGTCGCCAGTACTGGGACTGAAAACCACAGCTGCAATTCCATCCATCTTCTAAGGACTTAACCTGGTCTGGGAGACCTGTAGCCGTTCCCAGCCAACACAGCGCACATGACTGGAACGGCCTCTGGGTAGGATCACAGGGCACATACAACGGACAATTTAGAGAGGACAATTAGCTTAGCCGCATGTCTTAGCATGGCAGAGGGAGACCTGCCCAACACGGGAAGAACGTGCAAACTCCATACATGGGGGGAACAGGATGTGAACCCCCATCCCTGGGGGGTGCAAACCAGCAGTTCTGCCCACTGAGCCACCATGCCACCCCTCCTTTTAAGTATGACTATATCTGTCGATGTTAAAAATTAAATTAAATCTGCTTTTTAAGACACCAATATCCTTGATATAATTCCAAAAAATAATTAATATTAAATTACTAATAATTAAAGCAACAGCATTCCTCTTACAAGTCATACTACTGCAGTGCATCCGGGTAATGTAGCAAATGAAGGTCTTCATGTTCCCCTTTGACTCTGGTTGTCCTTAAACCAGCAATGTTTCCCCTAAGCACTCCTGGCTGCCTCCAGAGTTGGGTCTGTCGCCGTCTCCGCTGCTCTCTTAGCTCCTGGAGGTTGCATGTAGTCGTTTTTCTTGCATACATTTAATCTCTATGTGATAAGTGGGACGTAGGTGTGGGGACACAGACAGAGGTGAGGACAGACTGGCGGACGGGGACTGGGGGCGGGGCGGCGTCACTCGAAGGCAGACTGCAGCTCCTTGAAGGCGGCTTGCCTCTGCCGCTTCTCCTCCGCCTGCCTCTTCTTCTCCTCCTGCTCCTGCCGGATCTCGGTCTCAAAGCGACTCGACTCGTTCATGGCCTGGACCTGGCGGTAAAGCAGGATGTGATGTCACAAACGTGGCCCTGTGCCAGGAGTATTCTACACAGGCTCAGACCACCCACTTTGACACAATTATCAAATCAGTATGTGGAATTGTTACAAAATAATCATGATATTTGAAGGCTTTAGAAAGAGTTATAGGCTTATCCAATGACATATTGATACTAGGGATGTAAGGATATAATAGATTTCATGAAAAAGGTCTCGATATTATCGTGGGGCTGTAATGATATCTACCAAGAATTACATGGTTATTTCTCTGCTCCATTTTATTATCTCTCCTTGTCGATAATTACAGTTTTTTTTAACAGCAGAGGGCGCAATCATACTAAAAACACTGATATTCCACTGTGACTGGAATATATTGTATTTATCACTTGAATGTAGTATTACGTTTCCAATGTTTCATTATTATTTTATTGTCATAATTACAGATCAAATACAAGCACAATCATGCAGGACATGGGAACAAGTTAAAGTGAAGTACAAAAATATACTTCAAACTGGTAAACACGACATTTCATTCATATATGTATGTATATATGTATGTATGTATGTATGTATGTGTTTGTTAATTTTATGTATATGAAATGTCTTTAATATTCATAAAACATTCCTTTTGAAGCTAATAAAAAGAAGGCAGATAAAACCTTTGGAAATTCTGGGTAATACGAATATTAGTGTGATTTTTAAATTCTTTATAGAACTGTAATTTTATTGCGTATACATTACCTGCAATGGCATAAAACGCCTCTTTAGTTGCCTGTACTCGCAGGTGTCCAGGAAGAACAATGAAAGCCCGAAGGAAATATTTCAGGCCCAAACAGACTTTGCGAATTGCCTGGCAAACTGTACTCTTTGATATATTTTCTGCTTTGCCTACAGTATACAAAAAAGCGCCGCTTGCAAAATATCTCAAGGCGATGCACATTGTGTGGCTGTGAGCCCGACTTCGCCTAGTTGTACTTCTACTGTACAGAGCTAATAAACCTTTAAGATATAATATTCCATCTCAGCTGAAGCGGTGTCTTTCGGAAAGAATATCATCCGGCAACAATAAATATCTTGCTGATCGCACAAACCCTCTCTATATGAAATTCTTTCCTTATAATTTGCGCACCGATATCAATTGGTTGCTCATTCATGAATGGCGAGGCCATATGACTGAACGGATTTCCATGTACGGACACTGATTAAGTGTGTGAGCTAACCCTTGTTTACGTAGAACAAACCTGCTCTAAGCAGGTTTGAGGATTTGGATGTGCTGCTATGACAACACATCCAGCAAGTGTTTCGAAAAACTGACAGATCCAGGATCATGCCAAATCGTCAACAATTACATCCGGCTAAACCAGTAATCCACGTACAAAAAATACCCCCCTGTTTTGTTAAGAAGATCCAACTGTTGCCATAATATATTATTTTCCTTTTAGTGATCAGTGTTAACACACCACAGCACACAGTGTGCGACAACGAAATATGTCCTCTGCATTTAACCCATATGTGACTTTTCGTGACATAGCAGAGGGCAGCTAATTCAGCGCCCGGGGAGCAGTGCTTGGGGGCGGAACCTTGCTCAGGGTACCTCAGTGGTGCCTTGCTGGTCGTGAATTCGAACCTGTAATCTTTCAATTACAAGTGCGCTTCCCTAACCATCAAGCCACCACTGCCCACAATTTTATGAAATCTTATGAAAGGGCTGCTACTGCTGTCTGCTGCATGGTTTTCGTTTCGCGGTTAAACATACATACACAGTTCAGTCATTCATTGCCAAAGACAATTCATGCCGATTTTTTGCATATTCTTAGATCATGGCTGGCTATATTTTATTTATTTTTATATTGTATTTTTAAGAAGGAAAACAGCAGCACTTTAAAAGGAAGACATGAATGGAAAAAAAAACGCTGATTTATTATTTAATAAAATATTTTTTCAACATATTTTAGTATTGTGATAAATATTGTACTGTGGACTTATGATTATGATATTATCGTGCGGTGAGTTTTTGGTATCATTCCATCCCTAATTGATACACATTGATATGAATCACTAAGAAGTAATGGCTAGTAGAATAGCAATTGGCTAATTCTGTACAGTCAAATGTCACTTAATGACTGGGCTATGTTCTGAGAAATGCGTCATTAGGTGATTTCGTCATTGTGCATCACAGAACATTCATCAGCAGCATGTAAGCATACCATAACATACCTTAATACATTCAATATACATTAATAACAAACATTATATAATTATATGATTGCAATGTTTGTTGTTATCATATAATGTTTGATATTAATGTATATTAAAGCTGTTAAAGTATGTTAGGATGTTAGGGTATACCTATATGCTGCTTTTGAATGTTCTATGAATGCATTATAAATGCATTATGAAGGTGCAGTTAATGTAAAGCATTACCGCCTGTTTAGATACCTTTATGACTTTTTCCAGGAAAGGCAGAGAGTCTCATCTGCAGCTGGCAGAGACACCGTGGCAGACTGCGGGGGGGGGGGGGGGCCGAGTTCCAGGTGAGCGGCATGTCAGGGGTCGCCGTACCTACCTTGGCCTCGAAGAAGGTCTTGGCTCCCTTCACTCCCTCTGTGGACACGTCGATCTCGGACAGCCGTGCCAGAGCATGCAGGCCGCTGTCCTCCTCCAGCTCGCCGGCGGCTGCCTTGCGGAAGATCAGGAGGAACTGGGAAGGCAGGCAGGAGCGGCAGGGAAAAGAACAATTTTTGCATCCTTACAAATGAATGTACCGGCTTGTGTTGCCTTGAATTGATCCAAGGTCACGAGTGTCAGTACAGCAAACAGCACCATGTATAGCTGAGAGGACACTGACTTCATAAGAACACAAGACATTTACAAACAAGAGGAGGCCATTTAGCCCATCAAGCGCGTTTCCTGATCCAGTTACTTATCAGTCAAGCTGACTAGGCACCCATCTCTGTTCTCTAAACTGATACCCTGACCTCCATCAATACATTGATTTGCATGAAACCAGAGATTCTTCTGCCCTAATGCAGTATATTTATGCTTATTGCTGTCTACAGCTTTATTTTTAATATTTGGAGAAAAAAATCAGTTCCATAGTATTTGTAAAGTGAAATTTATTCAGTCATCCATCCATCCATCCATCCATCCATCTTCTGTAACTGCTTGTCTTATTCAGGGTTGTGGGGGGTCTGGAGCCTATCCCAGAGGCTATGGGCACGAGGCAGGGAACAGCCCAGGATGGGGCGCCAACCCATCGCAGTTATCCAGTGATGTCATTTTAATCTTTAAGAAAGCAGTGTACAGGCGTAATTTTCCCTTGAATATAGGGTTATGTTTCAAGGAAATTGCAGTTTCACAGCTTTTGTACAAACACTGTATTAAGGTTGCACAGGGGCACCGGGCTGGATTTGGGTGATATTCACAATCATGATTTATCACCAGTGCCGTGCCTACAAATGCGAGCCAGCTGACCCTGATTTTACTGGTTTTGGTTAGTTTATAATGGGCTGGCTGGGTAGTTTTGGCAGGAAGTGTGCATGAATGTGGAGCAGAGATATTTATAGTTATCTTTGTACTGAACTTGCATTTAGCATCTGAAAAGCCACTGTTCCTGATCAGCGTTTGCTTTCCAACAAACTCTGTCCCAGCTGCTTCATTAAAATCCCTACACCCCGACTCCCTCTTCAGTTATTACTGCAAATCTACAGTACTGTGCAAAAGTCTTGGGCAGTCAAGGAAAATGTTTCAATGATCTTCATGTGAACGTAAAGTTACGATGTCTGTCAAAGTGTGTCAGCTTAGCCATTTCAACACAGCTCCTAATATCACCCCATTACGTCTAGGGCCGTCCAATTTACCCATGTCTTTTTGGTTACTACTACTGTAGCATACTGCATATGGTTAATGAATACCTCATTAAGTTATTTAACTAATTAAGTCAATTAATTCACTGAGGTGGTGGTGAATTTTAACGAATACACAGAACAGCTGAGGTGCCCCTGAGGAGAAGGTTCTGGACCCTAAACGACGTTCATCTAGCCATCCAACAAGGCATCAGTAACTGTTTGGAGAACAAAAGAAATTCTTAATAGTTTTTCTCGTGTCACTGTTAATTTGCATGTGTTATAATGTTAAATTGTGTTTTGCTTCTTCAACAAATATACACTTACTAAGCAGACAAATAGCTTTTGCCTGCCTACGACTTTTTGCACAATACTGTGTATTAGAAAAGTCTTTGTCAGCGTTTGATAGGACTCTGGCCCCTCGACTGTCCGCACCTCTCTGAAGCTCAGCTTCCCGTCAAAGTCCTCATCCACCTCCCTAATCATGTTCTTCAGGCCCAGGTGTGTCTGTGGAGCCCCCAGCTTCTCCATCATCAGCTTCAGCTCCATCAAGTCGATGAAGTTGTCTTTGCCGGCGTCGTACCTTAGTGCACATACACACATCGATCGATTCACGTCAAGAAGAATCGCAAAGCTACAATAGCAGCTCACGCTCATTTTATGCCTCTTGGTTTTTCACCCTATTTCATAAAAAACATTGATAAATATTAAAAAGTATAGAATAAAACACTGACATAAACATTGATGCCCCACCCACTTCTAGTACAAACCTTTTAACCTGAATTATACAGTGCTATCCAGAATTTCTAGCACAATAATTACACATGTAATAATTACACGGCAAAGTAATCGGCATCCCTGCATTTGCTAATCTGCGCCTCCTCCCTTTTCATAATGCTGAATGAAAGAAGAATGCACCTTTAAATGGATGTGTGAGCATTTCTCAGTACAAACTCTCTCCAGATACATCTGGGTCCTTGAGCTTCATTTGTAGATGCTTCAGTTCTGCTTTTCAGTGGGATTTGAGCCAAGGGGGGGGGGGGGGTGGGATGGTCACTGTCTGATTCTGTGGTCAATTAACTATTTTTTGCGTGGATTTGCCTCACTGTTCTTCTGCAAGGATCGACAACAACCCAGTCTTTTCCTGCTGCCAGAGGCAGACAGACTTTGATCCTGGTATTTGACGGAGTCCATGGATCCATGTACCCTAACCAGATTCCCAGGGCTCTTGGGAGAAAAACAGCCCCACATCATCACAGATGCACCACCATGTGTCACAGATGGAGTTAGGTTCATCTCTTCATGACCTTGACTTGTTTTACGCCAAACCCCTCCTGTGACGTTTGCTGCAAAAAAACTTGCTTCCAATCAAATTCTAGCAACATTTTGCAACCCCCAGGTGTTTACATTTGTGGTGTGACATCAGCAGAGGCTTTCGCCTGGAAACCCACCCAAATAGTTTGCTGCTATAGAGGTGGCAGAACAGGCTTGTGTCCTCTTCCAAGCAGATTTCCTAATTATCAGTCTAATAGTAGAAATGAGGATTTTCATGTGTGCAGCTATTTTTAATAGCCATTTAAGTAGGTCAACAATCTTTTGTCTCATTTCATTTGTGTATTCTCTGGTCCTTCCCATGATAACCATGTTTTTATTCCTATATTGCAGCCCGACACAGACCGCCCAGAGGCAGCCCGACACAGACCGCCCAGAGGCAGCCCGACACAGACCGCCCATTGAAAGATGTATCACTTTCAGTTTTTATACATGTATTATTACATGTATACAAAAAGAGATGATGCACTGGAAAAATAGCTCATTTTATTTATATTGTTTACATCAGCTGAACCATCACACACCAGCAGGGGGCGATCTGCACCACTCAGGCAGATGGCAACTGTGGTTATCCTCATGGTTGGCGGCTGACGGTCGCTAATTGCCCTAAACAGGGGGCGGGACTGTTTGCCCAGAGATAGCTTAAGGCCCACACTTTGGGGGGAGAAAACAGAAGAAAGTTACTTTCCCTGCCCTTAACATAAACAGCCTGGAGGGGCACGTCTCTGAGGGCACTGCTGCCTCCTGAGTGGCCCCTGCCTGCCTGGAGGGGAAGAGGTGTTCCCCCCCAAATTAGTGACCACAGCCCCGTTACCGCCACAAACTGTATATATATCCCTGTATTCCCTCAATAAATCTTGCCCCTCCTGGGGTATTTGCCCGCACCCTTATCTCTGGTGACTCATCGTCTGCTGTCATATAAAAACATCCACAACATTGTCATCATAGAAAAAAAAAACCTAATTTGACCAGTAGGTGGCAGTGCTTGGGCGACTCGCACTCGACTCGCTGCGTCGCCTCGTTCGTTATCTTCTCTCCTATCTGCCTCGCGATTGTGTGGAATTTCCGACCGCGTGAGCCGCTCCTCTTACTGCTCCACTGAACACTCAGTTCTGAGCAAAAATGTCACCACTACTAGGTAACCTTCTGTGGCTTCTCCCTTCCCAGAATTCATAAGCGCTTCTCGCTGACCTACTTCCACTCCAATGGTGGTGTACGGGCGGTGGGGGGGGGTTTCAGGAGTTATTATTATAAGACACACAAAGCATTTCAATGAGGAGGAAACATTTCTAAGAGGTGTTACATAGGGATGCTAAGCTAATACCTACCATTTCAGTGTTAGGTGCAGTACCATTACAACACCCATGTCCTAAACCACTCCGGTACCTTCTATGTTTAGAAGATCCTCTGTGATGTCACTATGGCCTGTGCCCACTCTCCTCTCTAAATATGACCACCGACCACCATCTGCACTCCAGCATATGCCATACAGACACCCAGCACAGGCTGCTGTCCAGATATGAGATGCTTAATTACACTCCATGTGAGTGGAGAGCTATCTGCTTAATAGGCTAAAGTGATTTACGGAGGCAGTAGAATAGAAGATGATGGGACCATACACCAAGGTCAGCTGCTACATCCCCGTAGGGTAAAGGGGTTGGGGGGGGGGGGGGACTGTCTCTGAGGACGAATGACATACCCCTGACAGGACATGAGAACATCTCACCGCTCTGCCCTTAAAGAAGCCTGCTTCACATTTACTCTGTGTAACTATGGTGTTAATTGAAAGGTCACACACAAGCTACTCCTAGGCTGCTAAAGAACACCAAACCTCAAACCACTCAAAGTTTTGGACCTCCTGGCTGTCACTGCCCCCTTGGATCTCTGACCTGTCATTTCCGCTGCAAACAACCCTGATACACAAAGGCATGCATACACATGCAAGCTTTTAAATTAGAAAGGCATCAGTGGACCAGTTTGGGGTTAACGTTCATTTTCAATGTGGAACTCTCCAGCCAGGTGAGCCTCACAGACTCTTCTTACAGGACTGCTAGGTATGTTCAAGTTGTGAAAAAGATCTAGCACTGTCTCACTGCAGAGATCTGCACCTTCTGCCTGCCAAAAGCATTTGGAAGAGACAATGGTCCATTTGAGAACAAATGAGCAGATCTGGAAGCACATTAACCCTGAAAATAGTGGGGTAACCGTACGACACACTCAGCACAAGTGTGATGTTTTGACTGATGTGGAAACACAATGCTGTGCTTCAATCTACCACCATAAGGGTCAGAATCACAATACGACACATGACAACACCCCTGCGCCCTTACAGTTGAGCCAGTCCGCACCACCCCCCTTACATGGGACCTGCCCAAGTTTCATCAGAGCAGTACAATGATTGTTCAGGCATTTTCATCTCTGGAATGCTTAAGGGTTCATGTTGGAGGAGAACAAAAAAAACTACAAACGCAGAAAATTTGTGTGAAGCTCGAAGCCATTGACAAAGTCATGGCAGAAAAGGTGCGGAAAATTAGGATCTTGAGTCGCTGCTTTTGGTTTGGGGATTTGGACGGGATCCTGGGGTGTGAGAACCCAGAGTGCTTGGGTTCCCTGAGGTCAACGTAGAACAGAGAGGATGACCGAGCGCACAGCCTCTCCTCCTCTCTCTCTCCATCATTCGCTCTCCCTCCATTCTTAGACGCTCCACTTAGCCTTTCTATTTCCTCGTCTTTCATCTGCGCCTCCCTACCTCGCTCTTTCTCTCTTCCTTGGCCAACAGTCCATCCAATCGTCAAGGCAACACTCTGCGCACTGCCCAAGGTCCCTAAAGAGTCATGGGTCCGGGAAATGAAGACAATCTTTTATCATAACTTTCTGATGTAAGCATGACAGTGTTTTGGGTGGAGATCTCCAAAGAAGCAACATGCAAGAAATACTGTCAACTCCCCAAAAAAAAGCAAGAAGTAAAGAAAGCAGCTTGATTCTTTGAATTCCCTTTGGGGAAATCCCATCTTCAAACTGCCCATCCTTGTCAGGGTCACCAGGTAGTACAGGGCACAAGGGAGGGGGAAACCCTAGCGGTGATGTCATACAGAGTTCATCATATACTAGGTCATGTATCTATACTCATGAGATATGTATAGTATACATACATATACTCTGAGTCATATGAAGGGTCGCCTTAAATTCTGCATTTAACTATCTGGAGTACAAGGTTTTGCTTACATATTCCAATTATAAGGCAAAGCATTCTGGGATGCAGGAGGTCTGATCTAAAGGCATAACCACCCCAGACACTAAACACCCCAGTGGACCAAGGATCATGGGAAGATCCCTAAAACGTGGGTCTTCCACTAAAGAATGGAACAAGTTCCAGGTTAAGGCTGTCCTGTTTTCTCTTTCATTTAGCATGCTAGCATTATTTACATTTCTTTAGCAGACACTTTTATCCAAAGTGACGCACAACAGACAAAGCAGTGTCAGACAATCCCTGCAGCACTTGGGCGCAGAGGGTCACATCACTATGCGACCCTGGGATTTGAACCAGCAGCCTTCTGATCACAATGCCACACACCGAAACTGCTTGGTATAAGAGCAAGCAAAAATATCAGCTGAAGGCAATAACACAAGCCCACAACCTTGCCCCCCCCTCTCCCAGTGCAACACCCCCTAATGGATGGTGCATATAAGCAGCGAGTATCTGTAAGATAAACTCAGTGGGAGACCTGAAAAAACGTGAGGAAACCTCTGCCTGAGTAAAAAGGTCTGAATTGTGTGGAGAGCAGCAGCTCTACGCGGGTGTAACTCCTCTTTCTTGGAATAGATGCACAGATTACAGCCTCCTCCATTACGCCAGCGTGCTCCCACAAGCACCCAGGAAAAAGCAGAAGTGACGCGTTTGGCAAAAACACGACAGTTCGTGCCCAGGCCTTATATAAATTTTTATTCAACCTGGCTTGAAATCTCCGGCATTTTGCAAATCGGAAAACTTCCACATAAATGAAAATGCTTAGTTTTCAACTCCGATGCAACCATCCAGAGTGGCAGAATAAGATTAAGATGTTACAAAGTGGTATGATTATTTAATAACTCCCAATTGTTACTATTGAATCAGAACAGCAGGTGTATGGAGTTAAACTGCGAGGCAGAGGGAAGCTGGGATTGGTCAGAGAGGTCAGGATGACTGCCCCACAGAGGAGGGCGGGCTCCATTAACCTGCTTCATCGCTCCTACAGTAGAGTGCCACGCGGC